CATCCATCCATCCATCCACCCATCCATCCATCCATCCATCCATCCATCCATCCATCCATCCATCTATCCATCCATCCATCCTTCCATTATCCATCCACCCATCCACCCATCCAACCACCCATCCAACCAACCAGCATCCAGTCTTTCTTTTTTTCAAAGCACAATGTTAACTATTACCTTGAATGGAACAGACAGCTTTTTCATTTGGCTTATCAGTAGTGCAGTAACTACAAGCAACAAACAAACAACATTCCATTGTTTAGTTTCAAAGACTACAATTCACAAAGATAAAGTAGATTTCAGGTTCAAAATAGGGTTGTGTGTTGGATGCATCCTTTCCCTGTCGACTGGTCAGAGACCTGAAAGCTTGGTAGAGCCAATCTTAGGGTGCAAGATCAATACTCCCATTTTGAGTTTGCATCGCTCAGACTTAGCCTTGATTGCGTACAAATGTATTCTCTCTTTCTTTTAATAAAGTACATTGTATAAAAAGGAATGTATATACTAAGGAACAATACAAGTTGATTAAAATGCAAAATGTTTTGGTTGAAGAGCTTAATATTTCAATATATAACCGAGACTAAGGCTGAGTAAAGAGAACTCGAAACTAAAGTATTCTCCAGTAATTAATGAAAAAGGGATGGCTCACGGTTTATAGGACATGGCATGTCTTCTCTCACTCAGACACATGAAATTTTGCACAACATTGACTGGGGAGCAAGAAGTTGAAGACTAATAATCTAACAGCATGGAAGAGACTGGATAGAAGTAATGGAAGCATGGGTGATTATGTACTAATATACCATAGTGCTTTATGGCAGGAAAACAGTTATTCTGTTCTATTCTATTCTATTCTAAACCAATGCAAAGGTGTAAGAATTAGCTGAGTATATCATACAGGCAACCATCACAAAATAAACCTGGGTGTAATAAATTTCTAGTTTTCCCCTAAAGGAAATAAATTTTAGGAAGTTACTTGTTTTGTAGTTAGGAAAATGTCAATTGGGACTACCATCCCGCTTTTTTCTCCTCTTGGCCTCTTGGCCTCTCATATCTGTCCACTGTGCATGTTTTCATGTGAAGTTTAACCGTATTGTAGTGTAATGTTGTCAAATCTGATTAAACTAATTGGGTTGTTTGGTATACTTACTTGATGATACATGCATTGTTTCCTATAGCCACTTGTGCAGAGTCCTTTACAGTTATGTTATAAGTGGCATTGACTACTTTGTCACCTAGAAGTGATATATCAGCTAGTGAGTTACCAAACAAACCTTCATTGGGATCCCTGTGTAGCATTTGACGTAATGGGTCAGGCATTGGGGGGAGGGGGGGGGGATATACATTTCTCATTTCCCTTTGCCATACAGTACATTTATTAAAATTGTGTAGTACCAAAAATATTATCCATACCCCTCCACAGAGAAATTTTTGGTGCCACCAAACAGGGTATGGTTTTCAGTGATTCTACTCTGGAACAGGGTATATAAAATCGCGCTCGCTCTGAGACAGGGTATATGAAATCACGCTCTCTCCTCTCTGGGACAGGGTGTCTATTTTCGCAATACCGGAACAGGGTATGGTTTTCAGCGATCTTGCTCTGGAACAGGGTATGAATTTCAGCAATTTTACTCTGGAACAGGGTCAGGGTTCAGAGGTCTCAGCGGCACATCCCTA